ATATACGCTGATCTAAGCCAGAATCACACTTAAGTGCAATATAAAAATCAGATAGTTGTGGAACATCTACTAAAGATTTTAAAAACATAGAGTATGGGTTAATTTTTAATATTTCCATCAGAGTTCTTACAACATACTCATTTAATTTATTTGAACATGCCATTCGATTTCTTAATTCATTTTCACTATCAAAGAAATATAATTGAAGATTTTTTCCTTTTTTATCGGTAGGAATCAAGTCATTGATGAAATGATACATCTGACCTTGAACCCGAAAAGTATAAATACCATTATTATTTTTTGCTAATTTTTTGTCATAAGTTACCCCAAGAGATGTGAAAGCAAATATATTATTGTACGTTCTAATATAAGTTCTAAAATGTTTTGATAGCTCTGTATTTTCCAAATAAAGGTTTTTTAATTCTATTGGAATCTCATGTGAAGTTAATTGAACAGAACCATTGCTACAACAAAATGCAGGCGGTTCATATTCAAATCTTATGGCTTTACAAAATTGACAATTTGATACTTCTTTTAATTTGATATAATTAGTTTTTGATGGCATAGTACTATCTATTTCTGATAGGAGCAACATGGGTTCTCTCATAAGATCAGAACTTTGTGCAACAGAAACCATGGTGGAATTAGAAGACGATGCAGTTGCCAAATTATTATTCATTGAACTTTTAGATAAGTTATGTTTTCTCATTTCAGCTCTCTTTGCTCGACGGCGAGCTAGAAGAATTTCTTTTTTCTCAGGTGGCATCAATCTGTATAGTTCACGTCTCCTAGCATTTCTATCCGCATTTGATTTTTGAAAAGCATGCACATTTTTATGGTTTATATTACTTAACATCTTTGGGATCAAAATAATTTTAGACAAAATAATTATCTGGTAAATAATAGTAATAATTTTAAATAAGGAATTAGTTGAGTAATACTTACCACACACTGAGAGAAAAGTGAAACACAGGTGGAAATTCTGTAAAGTTAAAATTTCAAACCATATATTAAATTAGATCTAATATAATAGACATGTATAATAGGAAAAACAAAATTTAAAAATGCTAAAAATGTAAGGCTGATTTAAATAGTAATGCAGTAGAGAATATGGAATTAGAATAGTAACAAACAACACATAGTTCTTTAGTTCCATTTAAGTCTAAATAATGGATAATTAGAGAATAGCAAACAAGAATTATTGTGAAATCCATGTACTGGAACCAAAGAACAAAGTTGCAAGGTTTCTATGACAACACTATATCAATTGGGAATTTCACTGCCCGAAAAATCACTTCCTGATTCATGCAACATTAAGAAAAAAAGAAAGTGCACCTTTTGCAACAATGTACTTTCAAACTATGTTGATTGAACTCTTCAAAAATGTCGGTGGGCGCATGTTAAATTCTCCAAATGTAGTATATTTTTGTAAAATCCGACATGTGTGCGACATTCAAAGTGAAGAGCCAATGCAACATAGCTTTCAACACACCGTAATATTGTTATTTTCTAACGTGGTTAATGAGGATTCATATAGCCGACCTTACTTGTTTGAGACTTGGGCATAATTGTTGTTATGTCCCTGCTGTATTGGTGTGTTAGGGTGTCTCCATAGATTTTCAGAGTGAAATGTCGTCTAGAAATGATGGATAATAATATGTTGCGGCAGAAATGTTGAAGTAGTATGTCAATTTTTTACTCTTCATTATTAAAAGAAAAATTAGTTAAGTTGTTTCCTCATTTAAATTTTAGTAGCTATATGAGTAAGAAGAAAAAAAAAAGGAAAAAAGATACATATATGAGAGAAGGACCAAAAAATTGATGAAGAACTTACCTAAAATTGGAAGGTCAGAAGACTAAACACACTTGATATACCAGGAAGATGAACTATCTGTGAGAAGAGAAGATGAATTATTTAAAGGTATGATGGAAATTTCTAGATACAAGATAATTTGTAATTGTGTGTTTAATATTCAGCCACGTGGAAGGGATTTAATGGACAAGTAAACTATTATTTTTTATACATAAAAAATAAATTAAATATCAAAGCAGAATGACAATTATACCCTTGAGATGTATCACTATTTCTTTACTATGAAGCATGTTGATCATATTTCTAAAGCTCATACTGAAATCAGGTTATTAAGTATCCTTTCAGGTTTATGCTCCAAGAATTTGATTTCTATTCTCCCATAGCATATATTAACAATGCATGTTGTAATTGACATTTCTGTAAGTTCACCATACTATCAAGTATTAACTCAACTCTTTTAAAAGTTCCCTTGAATTCAAGCCATATATCAGGCAATAAGAAAACAACTTACAACTCATTCAGCTATCTAACCTATGTCAAGATACCAGACGATGTGAATTAGAAACTAAGAACCAACGCCTTGCCTAAACTACCAGAAAAAACACTACACTCTTTTCTAGCTAAAAAGAAAAATATTAGTGCTAAACTCTTCCTTCATATACAACTTTTTCACCAACAATGAACTTCCCCATATTTGTAGCATGAGAAGAAAGAAGCATTCATTGTGCTTGTATATTCATATGCAGGTGTTTAACATTTGAATTGAAATATTTCTTGATATTACAGTTAAACAATTTGCACTTTTCTTTGGATTTATTTCAGCTTAGTATTGTATGTTTGTGTAAAGGTTAAATGTTTATCACTATGGTGCCTCCACCTTAAATGACCTTTGGAGCATCCAAAGAAAGGCAGAATTTATTTCTGCTCTTCATGGGCATGTTGCTACTCTTCTTAGGCATATGGTTGGTTCACTTGGTAAGATGACCTGTCCTATTGCTGTGAACTTGGTTTTGATTAATTTTTTGCCACAAATTTCGTTCTATTTTGCTCGATCCTACTTTTCTGTTTAAAAATCAGTTCATTAGCTGTTGCCAGCTGTAATTTTGGGAGAAAGGTTTCTTTCCAGTAATTCCCTTAATAAAACACTGGTTTTACTATTGCAGTTGTTGAACATGCTTATCAGTTGGGAAATGCAGCTCAGAAACAAACTTTTCTGATGGAGCTGTATTCCCTAGAGCTTCAGTTGTTCAAAGATTTGATCTCAGCGAAGGAAGCAAGGTAATTCCTAGCAGTTAGTGACAGCATGCTGCATGTGTACTTTAGACAATTTAAAAGTTTTCTAGGTTGTGATGTCAGGTTGGGACATGTTTTTTCTTCTTTAACAGGATATCCTTATGATATTTTTTTGTTTTACTCTGCTCGACATTTTCTCTTAAATATCGCCTTACTGTTGCTCCTTCATCTAATATTGTTCATTAAATTGCTAATCACCTTACTATGTGTATTGAAAGCAAAATTTGTTGTTAAAATTGATGCGTTCTTCAACAGGATATCCTTATGATATTTTTTTGTTTTACTCTGGTTGACATTTTCTCTTAAATATCGCCTTACTGTTGCTCCTTCATCTGATATTGTTCATTTAATTGCTAATCACCTTACTATGTGTAATGATAGCAAAATTTGGTGTTAAAATTGATGCGTTCATGTTGATTCTTTTTCGATAAATATACTTTACGTTGTATTCATATTTGTACTTAATGAATGCATTTATTTCCTAACTTAGCTGCCATTCACATTTTATGAACAGCTTCAAAAGGGTTCAGTTATACGGCACATGACCTCTGTACTTCAGCCTATTATGGAGAAAGGGATACTGGACCACTCAATTATACACTGGGCACTTGTGGAGTACTTAACTATTGCTGATAAGGTACCTCAGAAACCTTAATGAGGTATTAATGAGTTGGCTTATTGTGAACATCCCTTTATAAATTTAAGTCTGTTCCAAGACTTCTGCTGCATAAATAATCCAGCAGTTGTCAAGTCCAGACCTTGTTCGGATGATTCACACAAAGGATGGATCCAAGATTGGGATATTCTTTGTAAATAGAATAAAGAGAGCGATTAACAAAGGTTGACGAAGAGAACAAAAATAAATTTGAGCAAAATTTGAATGGAAATCATACCTGGAGTCACAGGGATGAAGAGAAGACGAAGAGAAAATTGTTGTTTGCCGTCGTCCGTCGAGTTTTATAAGTTATTAGCGTCTGTTTATTTGTTCTCTTGGGAGAAGAAAGAGAAACCGATACTTCTAGAGAGAAATGGATACTTCCAGAGTCCACTTTAATCTCATGCGTAATTACCTTTTTGCCCTTATATAAAGTCAAATTTGCTGAAGTGCCATTGATCAGGAGTAACAGGTTTTTTATATGAGGCAGCCACGTGGTATGCTTGAACAATTTGCCCTTTAAATGAACATATATTTACAGTTTTGCCACTGGTCGTCCTCTACTTCACATTTCTATATAATAGAAATAAAATAAAATAATATATAATATCGTGAACCAATTTTTTTAATCATTACTACAAAAAATAAAAAAATATATTGGCTATGCAATTAAAAACTTAAAAACTTGACTATCTAATCAGAAATATGCTACTCCCTTTGTCTTTGTTTATGACTCGCTTTTCTTTATAATCAGTCTAAAAAGAATGACATATTTCTATATTAAGTAATAATTTGATTTTAAAATCTCTTTTGTTGTCACACTAATATCTATCACTCATTTTAAAACACAGTGTCAAAAATCTTTCTTTTTTCTTAAAATCCGCATCAAGTTAAATTAATTCATATAAATTGAGATGGAGAAGGATATTGTTTTAGTGTAAGGTAAGCGTTTATGTCTTTTCTAGGCTACGTTTGCACATGCGCCTTGAAAGGAATGTGTCATGATTTAGAAACCTCATAGAAATTACTTGAAAAATACTATTCCCACTCATATTGTTTAAAAACGCGGCGACTCATTAATTTTTAAATATGTGACAAACTTAATCAACAAGAAAAAGAAAACAAAACTTGAATGACCCGTACTAATATTCAATTCCATATACAGCTTTTGCCTATATATATGTGAAATGAAACAAACACCAACAAAAGTATTATTTCCTACTTCTAAATTCTCTCATTTCTTCCAAAGTTTCAAAAACTTACTACTATACAAAAAAAAAATCCTTATATTTTGATTTTTGATTCCATATAAACATGACAACCATGAAAAGAAGCAGAGAAGATAATGGACAAGTGGAAGCAGAAGCCATGGCTAATTGCGCCTTAATGCTTTTGTCGCGTTTAAACAATAACAACAACAATAACAATGATTTTGCATGCAAGACTTGTAATAAACGATTTCCATCTTTCCAAGCCCTTGGTGGACATCGTACAAGTCATAATAAAAAGCCAAAATTACTCGGAGAATTTCTTGTTCAAACCAACAAAAAGAATAAGATGCATAAATGCTCTATATGTGGTACGGAGTTTTCATTGGGTCAAGCATTAGGCGGACATATGAGACGTCACCATGATGAAATTAATAAAATTACGTCTCATGAAAAGACGATGATTCCGATTTTGAAGAAGTCGAATAGCAGCAAGAGGATTAATATTTTCGGGGTTAACTTTAACATAAAACCTGATGATGATAATGTTGATGATTTGAAGTTATGGCCGATGGAAGAGGCTCCATCGCCCGTCTTGCGAATATTTATTTAAGTCAGCTTGTAATTCATTTTGATTAGGATTAGGCGAATAATTAGCTATTTATGGAATTATTTCCATTCATTTTGTTGTATATAATCCTTAATTAGTAATTATTCACTGATTATTTTGTATATGTTGAATCTTATTTATATATCACCCAGGATTAAGGTATTTACAAATCATGTGTTTGATTTTGTTGTTACCTTGAGAATATTGATTATTGGTATAATAACATCGAACTTATATATAATTCAATCAAATGTGATGCAAATGAAATAACTCAGATATGGGCGTATAACATACTCCCTCCGTTTCTCTTTACATATCGTCTTTATTAAAAATAAATACACCCTCTCCAATAATAACTATACTATTTTGAAATGTCCAACAATACTTATTCACTTTATAAAATCAATGGATAATTTTATACTTAATTTCTAATTTACTCTTATCATTAATTATAGTCATTTCTTTATTACATTTTTCAATTTATTGTAATTATTATATTTAAACGGTGATATGGTAAAATTGTCATTCGATAATTTCTTAATTAAGAAGTGTGCAAAGTCAATAACAGACAAGTATTATTGGACAAAGGGAGAATTTTTCATTTCACAATATCAACCTTGAAGGTATATATTTGACCAACATAGAAAAACTAAGTAAATTATCAATGTTCATTGGTCAAATTAGTTAATCAAAGTAAATTAATTCATGTTCATTTATTGAAAATATGAATTCAAGAGAAAATTAAATAAAGGTATAATGATAAACGTATCTATTTTATTAAGGAGCGTAAAACCTAAAATGGTGACAACTAAATAAAAACGAAGAGAGTAGAAGTTTAATTTTTTCCATTAAGTGGGTCCAGAATGTAACCATGGACATTAATGAAATTGCAGAATCACCACACCACATGTTACATTATTTACATTTGGAACGAAAATGTTCATATGTTTTGTACTTCCTCGATCCTTAATTACTTGTCCACTTTTGAATTGACACACTTATTAAAAAAATAAACTATTGATATAGTGAGTTTACCATTTTACCCTTGTTAATTATGAAAGTGGATGAATTAAAAACTTAAGATTTTCAAGAAGTTCTACATTTTTCAAAGTAATTAATTGAAGATATAATAGGTAAAATATAAATTGTACTTTCTTAATATGTTAAAATAGACAAGTAATTAGGGACAACTAAAAAAAGGAAAAGTCAACATATTTGTAGATAATATATACACAAAATAAACACACTATAGCTGCACCTAATAAACTAATAGTATGCCACATAGGAAAAGGAAAAAAAGAAACATATAATATAATCTATACCAAAGAATATTCTAAGTATTCCAACTGCTAATTGAAAATTACACACACTCTCTTAAATTATCTATCTTAAATTTTTTTACACGTTCCTTACGAAACATTCAATAGAAAAGCTAGTTTTTTACCATTCTACTATAATTTATGTCTTAATCTTTTGTTAATTTCACTCTGCCCTTAATCTTTTGTATTAGGTAAATAGTACCTTTTTTATGTTTTAAATGAGCTAATTAAATATTTTCCTCTTAACAGAAGTAATACTTGTTACAAATGAACTTACATTGAATGACAATTAAACTAGATCAATTTTTTTTAAAATAATAAATTTAATTCTTTTAAAAATATACACTAGAAAAAGTTAAATAAATAAATAATTTAAATAAATAGAGTAATTAATTATGAGATGAAAAATGATGTTGTTTCAAGCCTATAAAGAAACGTTTAATTGTCGTTATCGAGGCTTACATTTGCAAGTGTAACGAAAGCTCTTGGAAGTGTTCTAGAAACCTCAACGAACCCAAACTCATTAAACAACTTGGAAGTGCTCTAGAAGAAGCCAACATTAATATATTGGGGAAAATATTCACACATATATATTTTTTTTTCGTTCATCTTTACTTGTCCACTACATACTTAAAATACTTGTTCAATAATACTTGTCCAGTTTGAATTATTAAAAGATAATTTTATTCTCTTGTGTTTGTTTTACTTCAATAGCTAATACATTTCCCAAAACATAAAATTCAATATATTCAAAGGGTAATATAGTAATATTTCCTCTATTAATTATTGTTTCTTTAGAGCTTAGGTGTGTGTCAAGTCAATAGTAAACAACTATTATTGGACAAATGGAATAACTTTTATATACTTTGTTCATTTTTACTTATCTACTATATTGAAAAGAAATATTTATTTTTATTTATTCAGTTTAAAACATGAATTGTGGTGTAGAGGTGATATTATTTCACCCTTAACTAGATGTTTCGAGCGTCACCTCAAATTAGTCATGTAGTGCATGATCCAAATTTAATCGGGATAGAAGGTGAGAGAGTACTTCTTGTTTGTTGACCTAAAATATTGCCATTTCACACTATTGACTAACGCGTCAGCAACACCCAAGTGCTTATTTCAAATCAATTGGTTCCACTTGTAAACCAACTGTATTTCTTTGACTCACTCACTAACAAATTAACAAAGTCAAACAACATTACTTAATATGTCTCATGTTTCACACACGCAAACCTTGTTTTCCAACCTATTATATATGTGAAGCAACACCAGCCAAAGTGTATCATATTCTTAAACTTCAAACTTCAAATCTTTCTTTCAAACTTCTACATTTTATAATACAATTTGTAAAAATCTTCAATAATATGACATCCATGAAAAGAAGCAGAGAAGACAATATGCAAATTGAAGTAGAGGCCATGGCTAATTGTGCCTTAATGGCGCTTTTGTCTCGTTTCAATAACACTTCTTCATCATCAGATCATCATGAAATTAATGATTTTGAATGCAAGACTTGTAATAAACGGTTTCCGTCTTTCCAAGCCTTAGGCGGTCATCGTGCAAGTCATAATAAAAAGCCAAGATTACTCGGAGAGTTTCTTGTTCAAACTAACAAAAAGAATAAGATGCATAAATGTTCTATTTGTGGTATGGAGTTTTCTTTGGGTCAAGCATTAGGCGGTCACATGAGGCGTCATCGTGATGAAATTAATAAAATTACAGATGAAAAGACGATGATTCCGATTTTGAAGAAGTCAAATAGTAGCAAGAGGATATTTTGTTTGGATTTAAACTTAACCCCTCGTGATGATAATGTTGATTTCAAGTTATGGCCAACAACACCAATTGCATCTCCTGTTTTGCGATGCTTTTTTTAAATCCCTTTCCTTTAGAATTAGGAAATTTGCTACCAATTTGTTAATTCTTTTATGATGATATTTATGTCAAGATAAATTTACGATGAATTCTTTTTATCATCTGTTATTCAAAACTCACTAATTCAAATTTGTGTTCCTTTCTATATAAAAAAAATAATTCTAAACAAAGTTTTTTTGTAAAAAAAGGCTGAAGACCATTCGATTTTAATGTGCTTGATATGCCCTATATTGTTGCCCTATTATTGTCCAAAGATAGGTTTTTAGTTAATCTAAATAAATATGTTATTCATCGCTATGTCAAAATAAATTGGCAAGGCAAACTCTAACTGCACAAAGTTTAATTTAATTTGGTAATGAGATTTTCCTTTTTAAGATCACATATCTGAAACTTACTAATTCATATTTGCACTAAGGCCAAAGAAAAAGACTCCATGTCAAAAGTTTTTTTTTTTTTTTAAAAGCTCAGGAAGTCTCTAGTTAAGAGTGGACGGCTGGATCTCACTTATTTAGTAAATTGAAATCATGGATGGAGCTAGGTAGGATCGAGGGGTTCATATTCGATATTTCTTTGGTAAATAAAAAAATTATGTTGTTTATATATGATTAAAATTATTTTTTATGTATATATATAGTAGATATTTGAACCCCTTTGATTTCTTCAAGTGTTTGCTTTTTCATATTTTAAACAATTTAATGAAAATCTTGACTCCTTCAATGATAGAACTTTTAACTTAAACGTCTAATTTTGTGACATAACTATAAGAAGTAGGTAGATGATAACAAAAAGTTATACTAGGGAAAAGAGGTCAATAAAATCAAACTATAAGAAATTTTCTCTAACAATGTTTTACACAAAAACTAAAAGAGATTACTCTATAAGAAAACAAAACAAATAGTGAACTAACTACTTGTGTTGCACATATTTGAAGCCGTCAATTTTTCAAAAAAAGAAGTGGCATCTTGGAAAGTCATGTAGTGTTTGCGATAAGAAGTTGTGTCATTGTTGAGCTGGTTTGGGTTCCAATTCCATTATCGACCTGAAGAAAAGATACAAAAATTGGACTCCTCAAAGGTGTATAATCAGAATAGAATATTTCAGGTTGAAATATCTCTACATCATACACTCACGACATTCGCAGAATTCCGGCTCTATCCTCATATATTTCTACCATCAATTTGCTTTTCTACTGTCTCTACGTATATAACATATATAATAGAATAGTTATTGACTCCTATCTTACCTTTGCTTGGTCACTTTATCTTAGTGTTATAGTGTATTTACCTTTAATTGTTTATTATTGGTAATTATAGATTAAAGTTAGTAGTATCAAGTTTGAGGCCATAATAAAAGTTGTACACATAAACAGCTAGCTAGGTTACAGGTCCTTGAAAGCTAAATGAAGAAGGAAACTGGAAAGGTGTTAGCAACAAATAATAATAGTCAAACCTATGTTTCACACGTTAAAATTTCAAAAGAATGACCAATAAAGAAAGATATTACAAAGCTATCGCCCTCCAACTTCATATTCTAACCATTTTTATGAACCACAACAAGCTGATTTCTGGGCAGCTTGACCACCTCCAGCTCCTGCTTCTGGTTGATTAATCTTGAGCGTTGACGGCTGCAATGTCAACAATGAGCATACAGTATTTGGAATTTCCAAAAATATTTTAAGTATATTCAAGTTATTTACCTCGGCCTTGGAGTCTGTGTCTGCAAGCCTTTGTTTTATATCTCTTGCTATTGAGAAGAAAACTTGTTCCACGTTAAGATTTGTCTTTGCACTCTGCAGGTGCCAGAGTTATATTTAGTACAGGAAGACCTACCAGCATTTCTTTCTAGGCTGTTGAACCATACTTACAGTTTCAAAAAATTTAATTCCATACTCATCTGCAAGTGCTTGACCCTTTGCCGTAGGGACAGCCTACAAAAAAGTTCATATTGGCCAAATATTAGACAGGAGGAGGAAAAGTTACTGATAAAAGATCAGTCCAAACAAAAATCTACCCTCTTGCTTTCATCCATGTCAGCCTTGTTCCCTACAAGTATTTTGTTGACATTGTCTGAGGCATGCTGCTCGATGTTACGAATCCAGTTCCTAATGTCTGCACGTAGGATGAAACAATTATTAGAAACCATACACATGAGTATACTGCACAAATGACAGTAAACAGATAAAAGAGTTGTGGAATTATGCAATCCATTCACTTGAACCCTAAAAAGGGTGAGCATTCGCATATGAACTACACCTTGAGATTATAGGAGAATCAGGATAAAGAACCTTACTGTTAAAGGAGGATTCGTCAGTAACATCGTACACCAACAATATACCCATGGCTCCACGATAGTAAGCTGGAGAAATTTGTAATCAGAAAAAGAGAAGCTATAAGTACACAGGCAAACAAAACACAAGGATCTAAGGAGGATCATTTTTTTTCTTTTTAATACGAAAGCAATTTATTCATGAAGATGAGAAACAGGCACAAGGATAACAACTCGTAGATTTTGCAAAAATAATATGATAGAGAATATCAATTAAAACTGGCTCTCTTCATAGGGGGCAAGAGTATAAACGGTCACATGGAAACGCAGGGAAGAAACAAAAGGGGGAGAAAAACATCACAAGACCGAACTTCTCTAAAGAAGATTCAATTAAGAAAACAAAAATGGAATAGACTTCTCGCAGTCATACTGGCCAGACTCCTTTATAACAACATTGATGTAACACCATCAGAACTTTTATCAAGGAACAACCATGACAACATACCAGTAGTGATGGTCCGAAAACGTTCCTGACCAGCTGTATCCCATATCTGAAGCTTGATTCTTTTTCCATCAAGCTCAATGGTTCGAATTTTAAAATCAATTCTGACAAAATGAAATAGAAGCAAGCATTAAGAAATATTTGTACACAGAAAAACAAGGCACATGATTCTCAAGGGCATTCTGAAGCAATTACCATAGAAGTATAACTAAGAGAGAGAACTCACCCGATAGTTGTGATGAAGCTTGTGGTGAAGGAACCATCAGAGAAACGTAAAAGAAGACAACTCTTACCAACACCTGCAGTGCAGACATCAAAGAAACAATTGGTTATAAAAAACAATCCACAATCATTCTCTATAAAAGTCATGCAAAGACATTACATAACCTCCAAGTGCAATGAAGAGGATGCAGAATAAGAAGCTCAGAACTTCCAAGAGAAAAGGTGACTGAAAATAAGTTTACTGAAAAGGTACAAGGTAAGTTCCAATTCTTAACTAGCTTTAGGGTATACCCTAAAGAAAAGGAAAATAAATACCAAACAGAAGTTTTCATCCTACCTAGTACATAAAAGAAAAAGGTAAAAAGAAACATATGGAAGTGTTCCCGTCTTACCTAAACTTTAGGTGATAAACAGTCATCATGATTACCCCCACCTCACACACCACCACTACAGCACAAAAAATAGAAATGTTGTATGGACCAAGATCAACCAGCCAAGAATCCCAAAAGGAGAATAAAGGAGTTCTCTTGATCATAAGAGGAGAATATCATCTACTCCTACTGAGCACAGACATTACTAGTTATGTACAGAACAAACAGGACACCCAACAGATAAATTTGGCTACAGCATTCTGTCATACTTCAAAATCATGTTCTACCAATATGAAGATTTAAAACTCATATTTTATGTTTAATTTGAATGACCATAGAGTCATGGATGCAATAGATAAAGCAACATGGTGAAGTCTGATAGTTCTGCAGAAGATATTTGCTGGTAATGCAGATCATTTCTGAGCAGTTGAGGTAATCAGAATTTGGTTAGATACTTACGAAATAACTTTTTTAAGGTAAACGATTGTTAGTGAATAGCTAAAGTACCAACTCCTCAAGCTCAAAGGCCCACATATCAATTAACTTCAGAAACAACCACAAAAGCAAGCATTATTAAAGATTATAGCAACCAACTTAACCTGACAAGTATACACACTGACAGTATAAGGAGAGGATACCACATTTTCTCCATTAATCAGAGTCACAGTAACTGATGCAAACAAACGCCAATACCGTTGTTCCTGTTCTTATTATGCAGGCTGCTGACAGCCTAATCCTCCTCAAAGACATTGTTAATCTGTTCATAGTGTTATTTGCATCTATGGTACAAGAGAGACCTAGATAAAGACAAAGGTGATGGAGCAAGATGTAACTAAAAGAAAATTCCTTCGGCTTATCAAATCCACCAGCTTAGTCAGTCAGTGGACACTTTATAAGATGGCAAAAGCTAAAGAAAGAAGCTCATCCTGAGACTCTTTAAAACATGAATGATCCCAACCATTGCTTGATAATTCTTAATAACAAGCAATGAAGGAAAAACCTACCAAGTAAAATATATCCCTCGCCACGTCCACTAGATTGATAGACCCTGATAAATTGTCAATCGATCAACTACATCTAATTAGTTAATTTCCGTTGAGTCCTCAGTATCTATTCCATTCTATTCAGACAATTCATCATACTGAAATTATATTTAAGCTGGCATGCCTAGCACAACCCATGGCGAAGCCACAGCCAACTGGTGAAACATACTGTACAAACACAGCAAAAACATCTTTTTCCATATATATACATTATTAACGCTTGAATCTCCTTGTAGTTGCACAGGTAAGCCCACACATACAAATTATTTGAATGCACAACCCTCCTGGACTTAGGACCAGTTATGCAGTATGATGATTCAGCTGATTTCGACATGTAAAACAACAAATTCTATTCAGCAATAATCTGCTGTAATCACTGTTTCTCCAGTAATTATTTGTGTGGGCTCAAGAATACTGTTAACACTTAAAATACTGTTATAAATCCCTAGTCATGTCACAGGTACAAATATAACAAACCTACTAGTTAATTAACACCCAAATTCATTACCAAAAAATCTTTTTTTTTACAGAAATTCCTAAACCCGCTCATATGCAATAGCTCGCAAACCACGCAGAAAATGCAAATCGTACTAGGCAATCCCGGTGCAACAAGCTCAACTCAGACTCTTAGGAGTCATTACCGGAAGATCATTTGCAGAAAAATGAACCAAATCTAGAAAAAAACATAGACACATCGAAACCAAAATGCATTTTCTAAGAAGACGCTAGATCACAACATAAGTCAAATCACCGATCCGAGAAATGCAGCCATAGATCCACAAAAAATTAAATTACAAAAAAAAAAATGAAAATACAAATTTGTGATCTGTGAAAAGGGATTAGAAATGAAAATGTGTTACAATACTTACCACTATCGCCGATCAAAAGAAGCTTTATGAGATAATCATAGTCTGCTCTAGCCCTTGCCGGTGGTGCGGCCATTGAAGGATCAACAAAAGCTCCTAAAAGTGTTTTCCTTAAATAAATTCGTATATTATGAAAATTATATACACAAGAGCACCCTTCTGGATTCACAAAATTATTCAAATTTATAATGAAGAAAGAAAAACTGTAACGAAAATCAGATCAAAATCTACAGAACGAATCTAATCAATGATTTTTTTCAGAGAGATAAAGGGGTTACCAAACAGGTTCAGGATGCGATGAGGGTGGCTAATATGCGCACTTTGTGCTGCGTGCGCCAAGCAAATTGTTTGGGGGCGAGTGATCACGCGCTTTTTGATTATGTACCTCGTTGAGACCATTTGCTATGTAATGTGGTTGGTCGGGGATGTATATAAGTTTAGTTAGTCAAAAAATGAGTATTTTTAAGGTTGTTAATAGTTTGGGGAAAAAATTAATAATTTGTGTCAAGTTTAGAGGTGTTTCTAATACTTCTCTCTTAATCATATTGTTAAACAAGGTCATGTAAAACGTTGAAATTTAAAAAAAAAGTACGGTTATACTTGTTGAATCAAATAAAAAGAAAAATGAGACAAACAAATTTCGAAGGATTTTGGCATGGCGCATTTTGATTGGGTATTTGGAAAGTTAAATAAAACGACAAGGAATGTGTGCGTTGTGTATTAGAGGTGGAAAGTGTTTAATAAAGTAAAAAATGTAGAAAGATATTCGGTACAAGTGTTGTTTTGCCTTTTAATCTACAAGGAATAGTCGGCTCCATCTAATACAAACTACCTTCCACATGATTTGCCTTTTTAACTACTCTTAGTTTTAAATTCGAATATTCTTACTTAAACTATTAATCTTTCTTTTGTTTTATTTTTTATTGATTAACTTATCTACGTAATAGAGAATTTAAAAAATATAGTAGTTTGTATGCACAGAACAAGAGGTGGACATGTGGCACCAACAAAGGATGCTCAAGGATATTGGATCAGAATTTGGACTCGAGGATGTGTTCAGTGCAAATTGATTTTGATTAAATCTCTGAAATCACATAATAATCGTTATAAAGAAAGATGGAAAATCGTGACTCAAAGATGAAAAGAACTTGTGTTATGATAATATGACAAAAAGGACTGATACGTTAGATATAATCGTAATCATATAATTAATACCTTATTCGCAACAGAGAAATATTAGTTGGGCTCTATTAATGACATTTTCACATGGACAACAACCATTGTTCATAGTACTTTATGTTTTGAGTGAAACTTTCTTATTGGTTTATTATCTATAAAAACTTATAAATAGCATTTATAACACAATTATAAGTGGATCATTCTCTGAACAATACAAACCAATATACTACTTCCTCCGTCCACAATTGTTTGCAGGGTAAGGTCATGTACACCCCTCAAGAAAAATTTAATACAAGGTGTAATTTGACTAATATAACCCTACTATACCAAGAATATCAAAAGTCTACATAACTTTTCAATTGAACTACGTACACTATCATTAAGGGCAAAATTGGAAAAAAGTGACTAATTATTTCTTGATTGTTGAAATTGACAATTAATCTTGGACATCTATCTTTAGTATACCTGCCAAACAATTGTGGACGGAGGGAGTACTAGTTTTGTGCTTCAAGCCTTCTATATTTCATTAAGTATTTACTTCATAGCATTTACTATTTGAACGATCTCGAATTTGAGATCAACATCACCAGATTCAATGCAAACACTCATCATCGGAAATTTATTGTTCCATATAATTTTATTTATTTACTTATTTATCTTCGTTTTGTTCTTTATAAATATATTTAATTGTTAATAATCAAATGTAACAAGTTAAATCAAGACACTTATTTTTAACCTTACTACAAATTCAACTGTATCATTCTCCCGATAAACAAAAGTTATGAATGTTCAACTTATCGAAAATACAGACAGGAAAAGCTTCTTTCAATCTCTTGTCTCTTCAAAAGATTCTCAATTTTTGTATATACCCAACTAGCTACCATATTTTTATAAAAATTATACACCATTAAAAAAAGAAGAAGCTTGGCAGCAATATTAAAGACCATATAAGTTACGTCCTTATTACTATAAAATTAATTATGATGGTTGCAAACTTGCAATAAATAAAATGAGTTAAAGTAGTTGACTTTTGTATTACGAGTTTTGTGTGAAAAGTCAAAGGTTTTGCCTTGACAAGTTAATTAAGAAATTAATTAACTTGGGTAATTGATGCATCACTAATACAAATTAGATTGGGTGGATCTTGTTAATGTAATTATCTATTGCTCCCTAATGTATTTATTTACACCTTAGTATAACGTACTTTGCGTAGTTGAAAAGATTTTCTTACGAATGCATGCTTAAAAAAAAGATTTTTATACTAATAGCGATTGGATTGATTGTTTATTTATTCTAATATATATATTATATATGATTTATGCATATATTAGTGATGAATTTAAAATTTTCATTAAGAAATTTAAAATTTTAAAGAAGTAAATATACAAAAAAGTAGAAAATACAATAATAGTATGAAATATATTAAATGCGTATTATATAAATTGTTATTGTTTATCGAAGGAATTGAAATCATTCGAAACCTTTCGGACAGAAACTAAACATATAAATCAATCATAAAAACAGTTCTAAATAAATACACTTGTTTTTACTTAACTCCGCTCTTGACATATATTATATATTTATCGACTATTCTTAATTTAAGCGATTGCGGAAACAAGTGTTTAAATTATTTCCTCAAAAAATAATACGAGTAGTATTAAATAATGGACACATTCAACCATTTGTATGATTCAACGATTGGAAGGGGCAAATTGCTGTTTCCAATTATAAAACGACAGATTTTGACAAAACACACTTGTTTTTTTTGACGTTTTCTGGCAAAGGAAAAAAAACATGTAAAGCTAGTTGCCAGCAAATTCCATGTGGGGTTCATATATCAATAAGTCTCTGCTATTATTGACAAATTAAACTACACGATTTTGTATTCAAGAGGACTCGAACTTAAGACCTCTTAATTAAGGATGGAATGAGTGCTTACTACTCTACCACAATCCTTTAGGTATATTCTCTTCTTCTTTCTCCTTCAATTTAAATCGTGTGTTCATAGTCAATTAATTTATGGTATTACACAATGACAAATTCAAAATTTTAAGGTAGCGGATGTTCAACAACTATAAATGTAATAAGCTAAATATCATAAGAGCATACATATTTGAAACTTGACGATTAAAAATAATTTTATGAGCAAGTTATTGCTAATATTATCGTTACAAAAAATAAATAATCTATAATCATTGTCATGTTTTTATGGTATTTGTAAAATGATAAATAATATTATCATTATTATTTATAGAAATCTTACATTTTACGTAACAAACTAGACAAGTATTTAAAGAATCATGAAGTATGTACAAATTGGGTTTCCTTACAGAATATGTACACACTTGTCAAAATTGTTTATATATAGTAAAAGAAAAGGGAACTAATCAGTTTAGTACAAACAAGCATATTAACAACAGTAAAATAATAAAATGCGTAGCTAAGCAGGCATAGTGGTTCGACAAATAAATGACCTCAATAAAAAAAAAAAAAAAGCAATATAAAATAAACAAGGGGCATTATTATCTATATATATAAAATGAAACCAGGGAACTGGAATTTAGAACAGAACTTTGTGGTGACAAAGCATGGGATATATAACAAAAAACTTTGATTGGATGACAGCTTTTGTTATATAAGAATTAAAAAAAATACCAATAAAGGTACTCATGGTGAGATCGATAAGATCATTCTTTTAATATTCTTAATCATAAGTCTCAAGTTTGAGGTCTAACTATGTAAAAAGCCTCATTTGAGAGTGTTCCCCTTTAAATGTGTTTTACAAAACGCAATCAAATTCTACAAAAATATGTTACTTACTATTAGCAACACATGCCAGATAACTTTTTCACCAAAAGTTAAAATAAATATAAAGAAATTACTTAGCATTTTGTCTATGTTAGAATTTAAACTTGAGACCTCATGATGCTCGATCAATCCACTTCATTGAAGAATTTTCTTTTTAGAAAAAAAGAAAGAACGAGTAAAACTTATTCATTGTTGAACTTATCCAGATTCAGTTCATTTCAACTTAGAAAAAATTAATTTTGAACGAATAAATAACGTGCTTAGATTCAAGTCAATCCGTCCAATTGACACGTAGACATCTACTAGCCGAAATCACGACTAATCACAATATCATTTCTCCCTATATATATATTCATCCATTTAGACACTTTTCTTCACCCATCAACACTTTCTTACACATATAACCTTTTCAATTATTACAAAAGTAGCCACAATGTCCAATCTAGCCTTTCTTTCACTAATTTTCACCATTTTCATCTCCACTTCTAACGCCATTTCTCAATGTAACGGCCCTTGTAAAACATGGGACGATTGTGATGGTCAATTAATTTGCATAAACGGAAAATGTAACGATGATCCTAACGTTGGAACCAAAATTTGCAAAAGTAGCCCTCCTTCCGTCCCATCTCCAACTCCAACCAATACATGTCGTCCGTCTGGCACAATCAATTGCAACGGTGTACACCCAATATACCGTTGCTCGCCACCTGTCACCTCCTCAACGCCCGCTCAACTTACCTTCAACGACTTCAGTGAAGGCGGAGACGGGGGTGGTCCATCATCATGTGATGGGAAATATCATAACAATAATGAAAGAATAGTAGCATTGTCCACCGGATGGTTTGCAGGACGTTCGAGGTGTGGTAAAATGATACTAACTCGCGCTAATAACGGAAAGACCGTAACGGCTAAAGTGGTGGATGAATGTGATTCTACTATGGGTTGTGATGCGGAACATGCTTTTCAAAGTCCATGCAAAAATAACATAGTGGATGGTTCTATTGCTGTGTGGAGAGCTTTAGGGTTAAATACAGATTTAGGTATTGTTCCTGTCACTTGGTCCATGGTTTAGGCCAACATGGAGCGATCGTTACAGCTATGAATTCGATAGAATTCAGTAACTTTATATGTCTCAAATATATAATTCTTGAATAAGCGTGTCATCTTACATGTAATAAGATGTACATTAGAGTTTCTTAAAAATAATCAACTACGATATAATTTCAACTAATTGTATTTTTCTTTCATCTCAATTTATGTTGTGAAGTTTGACTTCTTCGTTTTTTAATATCATGGCATCACCCCCTTTGAATTTGCGAAACTACTTCCTCCGGTTGATAACCTAAGGAAGTCAACATATCCGCAACATGATTTGTTCCCGTAAAATAGTGCTTGATGAAAAGACTCTTGTCTTCAACCATCTATTTAATGTCTTTACTTTATTTCAATTTGTTTGACTAGTCGCTGAGTTTATAAAAGAAATAAATTCCCTTGAAATTTGTGGACTTAAACAAACCATAGATATTTTAGTGGTTATAGATAATCTTATTAAGATTAAAGTGAAAAGTTTAAAATTATATTAGTATTAAATATGAAAATGAGACATTTGTAGGGGGGGGGGGGGGGGGGGAGGGGGGACAAATTTATAAAAAGGAAAATATAATATGTCATTTAAATTAGAAGGGTGATATAGGGGATTGAATGAATTATGTTAATCACATAATTGTAATTCTTTTTGGTACTAATTAATTATGAGTATTGGTGATATAGGAGCTTTGAATCCTTTCAAATTAGGGAAGAGTAAGCCACTTTTTTTATCTTCCTCAGATTATTATGTACTTTTGAGTTAAGATGAACAAAATGCAGAAAGTTTGCTTGAATAAAAAAGGTTAGGTGATATAGCTTTGATTTTAACATTCCGCTACTTTAATTTTATTTTTATTCTAAATAAATCAGAAAAAATATTTATCTTTTTTTTATTATAAATTTCAAAAGTCTTTATGTCTATCTTAAATTATGCACCAATTATAGAAAGTTTGAAAATTGCAAAAATGCAAAAAAGGAGGACGGAGTGCAAGGTCATATTGTACTATCAAAAAATGGTATAATATTGAAATGTGTTCTTTAACTGACATTTATGCATTTTAATTTTGAATGTGCAAGGTACATAAATTTATATAGAATTGGACAATTAGACACATATGTCTAACGTGTTATGGAATGGAAGAAAGTAGAAAGAGAAATTAAAGAGAGAATGAATGATAACTCTTTGTATTGATTTTTTGTATTGATTCAAATAGAAGAGTACATCCCTATTTATAAACAATTAAGGAGAATCCTTATTAAAGGAGAATCCTCTAGATACTAAACTAAAATAAAACTAAATATTTTGCAATTAATGTAAACCCTAAACTTGAAAGGAAATTAAATACTATAAAATATTTTTAGACTAAAAAGAAAAAGTAAAAAGATTCTACCAAATTTCAACATTCCCCCTCAAACTCAAGTTGGTATATCTAACTTGAGTTTGAACACTTAATTATTCTTCAAAAATATCTTCTAATAAAATTCATCCTCACATTCTTCTTCTACTAGTAATGCTTGTGATTTATCTTGAGTGTCTTTGAACTTGCACATTTTTGTAACATGACATGTTTGTTTGCAACTTCCGTATACTGCATCAGATCTCCACCAACAGAATTTTTCCAAATGTGTTTTCTTTTTTCAATATTTGCAAGGAGGATAATCAACTTTTCTTTTTTGATAGTTTGCATAAAAGATACCTTCAACAATTTTATCTTGTCTGAAAGCTCTTCTTTGTTCTTGTGCTTGAAGAGCACTTATTTCAACAAGACAGATGGTAGAGAGATCTTTAGACTCTTCCAAAGCAGAGATTTTAGACTCAAATCTCTCGGGAATAGTTACAAGAATCTTTTCAACTATTCTATTATCTTTAAAATCCTCACCAAGCAACCTGATTCTGTTGACAATCAAGGAAATCCTATCAGAATAATTAGTGATAGTCTCACCCTCTTGCATCCTAAGAGATTCAAAATCTCTTTTCAAATTCAGAATTTGATTTTGTCTGCCTCGTTCACTTCCTCGGTACTCCTTCTCAAGTTTTTCCCAAGCTTCTTTTGCTGTCTCACATGCAATGATTTTAGAAAAGATTGAATCTGCAACTGAATTTTGAATTACAATTTTGGCTTTGTGTTTTTTGATTTTCTCTTCTGAGTGAAGTTTGATTTCAACATCAGAAGATTTTTCAGTGAGTTGTTGTATGGGTTTGTCTTCCATTACAACTTCCCACAAATCATAAGCCTCAAGATAAGACTTCATCTTAACTGCCAAATTTGATAATTTTCACCATTAAAGGTTTGTGGGGCATTGAAAGAAAGAGTATTGCTTGTCATGGTTTGAAAAATAAGGTTTAAAATAATATAGATTAAAAATTGGTTAAAAGTAGCCCTGCGTTAAAAATAAAAGCACGGGTTAAAATTGGCCCTGCGTTAAAAATAAAAGCACGGGTTAAAAGTGGGTTGAAAATAGATATGAATTAAAAGTGGTTGAAAGTTCTTCTTCAACGAATTCACAGATCCATTAAGATCAATGTAAGGCTCTGATACCACTGTTATGGAATGGAAGAAACTAGAAAGAGAAATTAAAGAGAGAATGAATGATAACTCTTTGTATTGATTTTTTGCATTGATTCAAATAGAAGAGTACATCCCTATTTATAAATAATTAAGGAGAATCCGTATTAAAGGAGAATCCTTCTAGATACTAAACTAAAATAAAACTAAATATTTTGCAATTAATGTAAACCCTAAACTTGAAAGGAAATTAAATACTATAAAATATTTTTAGACTAAAAAGAAAAAGTAAAAAGATTCTACCAAATTTCAACATAACGTAGCGTCTTACGTGTATTATATCATATAAGACACATGTATTACGCCACGCAAAAAATATATGCAGTATACACTTATTTTCTAGTTGTAATACAATGAATATGCACCAGTAACTATTTCAAGTTGATACATCTGAAGTACTATATAGCTGGATATTCTTGACGGATTGAAACTCATAAGAAAAACACGATAAATGATTTGAGACGAAGAGATCAGTATTTTCTCCTAAATAGGACTCCCATACCCTTTCTCCAAGAATAAAGATTAACCAGATATAAAATATTTATATTTATCTTATCGTAAAAGTAAACCCAATTATAATAAGTATGTTGTCGTTTTTTCCAAAACAATAAAACACCCAATTATGATTTAGAAATTAGGACAAATACCCAATAATATGTGAGTTTCTTAACAAATCAATTATATTCAAATCAAACTATGAAAATTGACAATTAAATTTGCAAGACATGGATTGGTTTAAAACGTGGACGATGGTTGTGTATCAATCGGTTCGGTTGGATTTATCGATTCAGTTTATCGATTTTCAGTTTTTAAATATGTTAAATCGATAACCAAATCAATAAGATATTTGTTATAGGTTTTCGATTTATCGATTTTGGTCTTTAACGGTTCGGTTTTCGGTTTAACCAATAAGAAAATGCTTTCAAAATAAATATATGACTTGTCCAACAATTTAACGCGAAATAAAAAGAGAAAAATCTAATTACTCATTGAGTGCAAAAATTCTTCTTAGTGTAGTAAAAGTATAGAAAATACTCACAATTCACAACCCTAGTCATTGCCTAACCCTTGCTGTCGTCGTTGCAAACCCTAGACAACGTCGTTCTTAGTTCTTTAGGTTTTTGACGTTGTGAACCTAAAGACTAAAGTAATACTAAAACCTAAAGGGTAAATACAGAGAGCAAGTTAATTAAGTAATGTTAATTGTGTAGGGTCATTAAAGTTATATTCTAATATAGTGATTATACTAATATTGTTTGTTTGATATTTATGTATGACTAAAAATTAAAATACTAAATTATTATATTCTTCATGGGTTATCGGTTAACCCAATAACCCAATATTAAAAAACCAATATCAAACCGATAACTCAATAAAAAAAAATTATAATCGTCATAAAGAAATCACATAATAATTGTCATAAAGAAAGATGGAAAATCGTGACTCAAAAATGAAAAGAACTTGTGTTATGATAATATGACAAAAAAGACTGATACGTTAGATATAATCATAATCATATAATTAATACCTTATTCGCAATAGAAAAATATTAGTTGGGCTCTATTAATGACATTTTCACATGGACAACAACCATTGTTCATAGTACTTTATGTTTTGAGTGAAACTTTCTTATTGGTTTATTATCTATAAAAACTTATAAATAGCATTTATAACACAATTATAAGTGGATCATTCTCTGAACAATACAAAGCAATATACTACTAGTTTTGTGCTTCAAGCCTTCTATATTTCATTAAGTATTTACTTCATAGCATTTACTATTGGAACGATCTCGAATTTGAGATCAACATCACCAGAATCAATGCAAACACTCATCATCGGAAATTTATTGTTCCATATAATTTTATTTATTTACTTATTTATCTTCGTTTTGTTCTTTATAAATTTATAAATATATTTAATTGTTAATAATCAAATGTAACAAGTTAAATCAAGACACTTATTTTTAACCTTATTACAAATTCAACTGTATCATTCTCTCGATAAACAAAAGTTATGAATGTTCAACTTATCGAAAATACAGACGGGGAAAGCTTCTTTCAATCTCTTGTCTCTTCAAAAGATTCTCAATTTTTGTATATACCCAACTAGCTACCATATTTTTATAAAAATTATACACCATTAAAAAAAGAAGAAGCTTGGCAACAATATTAAAGACCATATAAGTTACGTCCTTATTACTATAAAATTAATTATGATGGTTGCAAACTTGCAATAAATAAAATGAGTTAAAGTAGTTGACTTTTGCATTACGAGTTTTGTGTGAAAAGTCAAAGGTTTTGCCTTGACAAGTTAATTAAGAAATTAATTAACTTGGATAATTGATGGATCACTAATACAAATTAGATTGGGTGGATCTTGTTAATGTAATTATCTATTGCTCCCTAATGTATTTATTTACACCTTAGTATAACGTACTTTGCGTAGTTGAAAAGATTTTCTTACGAATGCATGCTTAAAAAAAAGATTTTTATACTAATAGCGATTGGATTGATTGTTTATTTATTCTAATATATATATTATATATGATTTATGCATATATTAGTGATGAATTTAAAATTTTCATTAAGAAATTTAAAATTTTAAAGAAGTAAATATACAAAAAAGTAGAAAATACAATAATAGTATGAAATATATTAAATGCGTATTATATAAATTGTTATCGTTTATCGAAGGAATTGAAATCATTCGAGACCTTTCGGACAGAAACTAAACATATAAATCAATCATAAAAACCGTTCTAAATAAATACACTTGTTTTTACTTAACTCCGCTCTTGACATATATTATATATTTATCGACTATTCTTAATTTAAGCGATTGCGGAAACAAGTGTTTAAATTATTTCCTCAAAAAATAATACGAGTAGGGGCAAATTGCTGTTTCCAATTATAAAACGACAGATTTTGACAAAACACACTTGTTTTTTTTGACGTTTTCTGGCAAAGGAAAAAAAACATGTAAAGCTAGTTGCCAGCAAATTCCATGTGGGGTTCATATATCAATAAGTCTCTGCTATTATTGACAAATTAAACTACACGATTTTGTATTCAAGAGGACTCGAACTTAAGACCTCTTAATTAAGGATGGAATGAGTGCTTACTACTCTACCACAATCCTTTAGGTATATTCTCTTCTTCTTTCTCCTTCAATTTAAATCGTGTGTTCATAGTCAATTAATTTATGGTATTACACAATGACAAATTCAAAATTTTAAGGTAGCGGATGTTCAACAACTATAAATGTAATAAGCTAAATATCATAAGAGCATACATATTTGAAACTTGACGATTAAAAATAATTTTATGAGCAAGTTATTGCTAATATTATCGTTACAAAAAATAAATAATCTATAATCATTGTCATGTTTTTATGGTATTTGTAAAATGATAAATAATATTATCATTATTATTTATAGAAATCTTACATTTTACGTAACAAACTAGACAAGTATTTAAAGAATCATGAAGTATGTACAAATTGGGTTTCCTTACAGAATATGTACACACTTGTCAAAATTGTTTATATATAGTAAAAGAAAAGGGAACTAATCAGTTTAGTACAAACAAGCATATTAACAACAGTAAAATAATAAAATGCGTAGCTAAGCAGGCATAGTGGTTCGACAAATAAATGACCTCAATAAAAAAAAAAAAAAAAGCAATATAAAATAAACAAGGGGAATTATTATCTATATATATAAAATGAAACCAGGGAACTGGAATTTAGAACAGAACTTTGTGGTGACAAAGCATGGGATATATAACAAAAAACTTTGATTGGATGACAGCTTTTGTTATATAAGAATTAAAAAAAATACCAATAAAGGTACTCATGGTGAGATCGATAAGATCATTCTTTTAATATTCTTAATCATAAGTCTCAAGTTTGAGGTCTAACTATGTAAAAAGCCTCATTTGAGAGTGTTCCCCTTTAAATGTGTTTTACAAAACACGAATTCATATTAATCGAAGTCCAATATGAATACCAGACACTGAATAAACAAGAACTAAATAGAAAGAAAGAAAAAGATGTGGAAAGACAAGTTAATGGTTGAAGCATATGCTTAGAAGATCCTCCCTCTACCAACCTTTTTCTATAGTTAAATTAAACCATCCATACCAATCCTTCTCTCTCTCTTTGAATATCACTCTTCTTCTTCTTCTTTTTTTCCCCTTAATCCTTCTATCTTCTTTCAAAAATGGAGGATCACAATGATGATGAAGATGTTGATGATCACATATTATTATCATGAAGTGACATTTTCTTTTGGGCAACTACATATCCTTTGGCAAATTTAAGCACCATGCTTAAGATCGATTCAAGACTATTTATTTAATTTAGAGATATATTTGTGTTTTTGTTAAGAGGAATTTTCTTTTCTCCTTTTCTTGAAGTTTTCCAAATATAAATGCACATCATGTTATTCAAATACTGTTCTCTAAGGTGCAAGTCTTTAATTAGTTATTTTCCTTGGTTTTTATGTATCTTGTTTGATGTATCATTTACAATAGACTTAGTAATAAAAGGAAATTAATATGTCTCAAGTCTCAATACTTAAATCTCCAATAATGTTTTAGATAGATAGATATATACTGTCTTATATTAAAAAAAACAAAAAAACTCGTGTCTAATTTTAGTCGTACATGATTAAAGTATATGTGA